TTCGATTTGATTGGACTTTTTGTTCTCTGTAAACATTTAAGAAATGTATATCAAATCCAAGTCTCAGGACATGGAATTTCCCCCCCTCCTTTGCCCTCTCGACAAGGCTCACAGCGCTGCGGAACGCGCAGCCGACAGCTGAAAAAAAAAAATAGCTGAAGTGTCCACAAGGAAACGTTCAGAATGCGAGGTCAGCATTCCCCGCCACGCCGCGCTCTGGTCAAACCCACGCCGCGGGGCGGGCAGTTCAGCAGATGGCATCTGTTGTCCTTTCAGAAATGGTACTGTCTGTGAAAGGCCAGATGTAGAAAATTTGATCCCTTTTCAAATTCCTAAGTCAGGATCGGTACTGCTCTTGTTAGATCCCGAAATCCTCACTCTATTTGCATGCATTGGTGCTTTGATGGGATGATAAAGGAGGAAAAGGAATCTGATCTCCAAACTTACAGAGTCCTCGGCCTCTCTGGGGAAGCTGTTTGAAAGGGAGGCTTTTACAGTGTAAACATCCCCCCGCGACCCACCGCAGCGGAGGCTTCCCCGGCACATTCCATACCCAGCCTTACACAACCATCGAGGTCCGCAAGTAAGCTCGAGGCTCAAGACAGTGAGCGAAAACATAGATTATTCTTTCTATTTTGTTGTTGTCATCAACAGCGATAGACACGGACTAGCCAAAGGGCTTCACTTAATACATAAATTGTTCCATTGACGTTCCCCACATAAATGTTTTACTCTTCCCTGAGCTTTGTTTGCACCAGAATAATTTTTTTCCCCCCCCCACCCAAATGCCCAGCCCCAGGCACCTCCGTGCCTCCTCTTGGCCGGCTTCCAAATGACATCTTAACCAGCCTGCCGGTCCTGGGAACGCAGCAGGACTTGCGGCGGCAGCCGGACTTGCGGCGGCAGCCCCCTTTTCCCCCTTTCCAGGGCAGCATTCCTCCTGCCCTCTTACCCTTCCCTCCGCCACCTGGTTACTGGACCGACACGAACGTGTTAATGATCACCAGGGCCTCAGGCCACAGCCCCAGCCATTCAACCAAAGCTTCGCAGTTCTGGCCCCCGCTTCTCAACACGCTTAAACCAACCAACTTGTTGCAGGGCTATGAAGCGGACAGATAAAGGATTTAAAAAATATATAGTAAAAGGAAAAGCAGCAAAAAGGTTTGTGGAGTTAAAAAGGAAAAGAAGGGTGGGAGAGGAGTGGGAATATTTTGGCGGTAGGTTCTGGGATCAGTTCACAGGATTACTTTTCAGGCTGTCACCCTGGCAGTACAGGAGCGTAACAGGTAAGGGTATCGTTCTTTAGGCCCACACTGGATCCTTTTGATCAAGAAACTACAGCAAAAATCAGCTGCTGTGTACTTGAGTTCTGCTGGGTACTGCATAAAGTTGTATCAGTTTACTGATGGGCCGTACTGAATATACATTATCTAGAATATGCTACTTTAAGCCTTGCCTAAGGCTATTCAGTTTGAAATCATAGGTTTATACTGAGTTTAAGCCCACCTAAGGTCACTAAATTTAAGACCCCTGGAGACTGCACTAATTTAGATCTGGTTTTTAAAAGGTATTTGGTTATGGTATATTTGTGTCACTTGAAATTACAATGGCAGACACAGCCTTCGAGATCTCCTTACAGCCGAGATCTAAGTGAGGAAATAAGGTTGGCTGAATAAGAAACACTCCCTGCTTCTGGCCTGGGTGGATCAGCTTCCACCTCACTGAGCTCCTGAAAGGCAAGGAGGGAAGAATCACCACACAAAACCAGGCCTAATGAGGAGGACAGTTATTGAAAGGGAAAAAAAAAAAAAAAAGTCTTAGTTAATCAGAAATCTCTCTGTAATCAGCAGTAACGGAAAAGGAAGAAGCACCTCAACTAGACAGAAAACACTTACATTGGCCAGCAGCCCTCAGTTCCTTCTATTATCTGCGCTTCACAGTTCTTGGATTCCCAAGATCTGGGAATCAGAATTAGAAACACTGGCAATGTGTCAGGTGTTATCGCACATCGCAGAATAAAGCATGGGCAAATCTCTTGCTACGGGCCCTGCGTTACGTAGGTAATTCCTAGCCACATCACAAACGCGTGCTGCTTTTAGACTCTGGTGAATGAAGACTTTTAGCCCTTACCCAAGTCTACAAAAGGTTTGAAGAAATCGTGTCCATTTGCAGCACTTCTGTCTCTCCTATCGCAAAGTAGGAAAAATTTAAAACTTACTAATGACAGCTGGGATTGAAAGTCAAGGATTTCAAGCGAACACAGGCGCTCCATCCTTAGCCGGCCCCAGAGCCTAGCACTTGCAGACGTGCCAGTGCTGCACAGCACAACCGGATGGCAACGGCGTTCTTGCCTCACCTACAAACGGCTTCGCTTTGGGGAGCTTACATCACGGATTTGACACAGTCTGAACTTCAGCTTTTGGCTTTATGATCTTTTCTTCTAGGGTGCACAGCATATGATTAAGGGACGGAATGAGGTCAGCTGCTCATTATGGGCTAATTGTTATATTCCCTGAACTAGAATACCAGTAACTGTTTGCGAGTACAAGATCTCTGCAAAACCAGAGATCACGTTCTAAAATTAGAGCGCTAATGAAGGCTTGTTAATAGGCAAGAAGAATCCCTCTAGAATTCTGAAGCTAGTGCCAAATATATCTACCTCTGTAATCCCAAATGCACTCGACATGTATGGCATCTTGAAGTTCCTTACTCACTTACCGTACAACTATTAGCAAATACGCAAGCTATGTAACCCCGATACCTCGGGCACTTACAGAGGTATTATTTGCAGGATCTGAATGAACTTTTCCCTTTCAATAAGGAGCCAAGTTCTCAGAAAAAGCAGCAAGGATACAACTCTATTTTGACGGCTGTCTTAAGGTGTTCTTAGGTGTACCTGGACTCGCTCCCTAAAGCCGCACGTAAGCGCACCGATGTTTTCTTTATAGCACACTCATCATGAGGTAGTTTTCGTTTCCCGTCTGTTCTAAAAGGAGAGATTATCAGATTATCTACAAACATGCTACCGAATGGTTTTAGTGAAACTGTGGTTCTTCGGTTTCCTGTTCTATGTAAATGTTTCAGAGAAATGCGTAAGGCCAGGGGTTTCCATCTGCGATTAACGATCTATTTAAAGGAATCATCAGAATAAAATGGCTGAGCAGCTTGCAAAATATACATCACGTACCTCATATGCTTCTCTCATCAAAATTAAATGCGTCCTTTCTTTAGTTTAACAACATCAAGAACTCCATTCTTTCATCCACAAGAGAGGTTTGGAATACAACTAGAAAGCTAACGAAGCTACCCAGCGCTCAGATGCAGAACACAGTCTGATGAATGCTCGAGTGTGAGGAGAAAACAAAGCAGCTCTTAAAAAACAAAAACAAAAAAACAACAGAGAGATGCTTGAAATTTGCTTGTACATTTCTTTCTGTTATGAAAGACATGCAGCGAGCTGAAACCTACCCAGGGCATTGCAGAGCAATGGTATAAACAGATTCTTCATAAAAGAGGAGGATCAGGCCTCTCATCCACCAGAACGCAATTAACAGGATGTTTGCTCCGACTGAAATACAGCCCTTTGGTGGAGTTGTTTGCTGAGAGAGCGGCAACAGCCTACGCCAAGTCAGTCACCGGGACAGCAGCACACGCTTGTCTGGTCTTCCCATACAGTCTGCAAACAACCATAATTCAATCTGATAAGTGTGGAAAGTCTAAAGCCCACAAAATTCTAGAACAGATACCCAGCTGTCTTCTTTTTTTAAATGGATAAATGATTAGACTCCTCCTTTGTAAGATACGACATACCGAAATATTTCCCAAACAGACTATAATAGAAGTCATCTGCCTATTCTTTTTGTTGTGCGTTTTTCTAATTGATACAATGCACATCACAGAGGGAGAGATATTTTATCCTTATCTGCGTTATACATCTGCAGCTAGGGGGAAGCTTGTTTTCTGTGTCATGTATTTGTATCGAGTAGCTATTTTCCCTCCAAGGGATACTCAAAACTGTATTTTAGCTTTGTAAAAACAAGTCTGTGCGCTCCCGCATACCTGCGGTAACAGAATAAATACAAAAGGAATCAAATTGCCAATATAAAGATAAAAACGCATGTTTTAGTAAAGAGTAAGGAAATCAGAACGGTAAGAAAAATAAGAGCAAGAAGTAATTCCTCCTCCCACACATCAAGCTCACAGAACTGAAACGGCTTCTAGGTTACACAAAGCAGCTCACCCTTGAAACGCTGATGCTGAGAATTTGTATGTGAAGCAATGCAACTTTGCTTCAAAAGGTGAGGGAACGCACATGAATCCAAACATTCCCTGACAAAAATATAAAGTATATAAACGGGGCAAAACCAAGACAATATGTCTATTTGCATAATTTAGCATTTCTACAGCAATGCAAGTGAAGAGGCATGAATTCTTTTTATATCATTTTAAACGTCAGTGCTGTATACAGAATGTGAAGTGCTTTGAGTCACCACTGTAAAACCTTTTAGTAACATACTGAAATAAAACTAAACTGTATTTAAAAATAAATGCTCATGTACAGACTTGAAGTGATTACAGGGCTTAGTAAGGATTGAGGAAATGACTGTAATTCTCCAACACTGGCTCAATTCTGTACACATAGAAATCAGTCAGCTACAAAAGTGTCCCGTAAGTCAACGCTGCCTAGCGTACCAAACCTCTCCTTTACAGCACATGTAATGCCTTATAAAAAGACAAATGAATTCAACAAACACAGCAGGAGCAAAGTGCTGCTTTCAGCCACGCCCAAGCAGCTCCTCCAGACTTCAACAGGAGCGTGAGCCCAAACGGTGGCATACAAACGAGACAGTAAGACCTTTCCCACAAAGGAGTACAAACCACTGTATTTACAACCCGATCCAGCACACTTAGCCCTGGACAGAATTCAGACATTTTTTCCATCATAAACAACAGGCTCATTACACACTTCAGATTCTAATGCTTTTCGTTTTAGCAGGAATTTTTTGAAATGAAAGTTGCAAATAACCTCCCATACAGTTAGTCCCTTACACTTAATAAATAAGAAGCATCAAGAATCTTCATGGCATTGAGATGCATAGAACTGTTACATGGTTTCAGAGTCTATTTAAAAAAAAAAAAGAAAAAAAGAAAAAGAAGTCCTTTGTTACTGCAAAAAAGTCCTTTGTTACTTCAAAGAATGGCCCTGGTGGTATGTTCAAGTGCCAAAACAAGCAGCACGACGAGAGGCATTACTGCATGCCAAACCACTGTTCTTGATCTGCCCACTGAGCTGCTTCACTGTCACTGCCTTCCAAGTCCCCCTCTTCTCCGCTTCCCTCCATATCGTCCACATCTTCTTCCTGGGTCGCATCTGTTGGACTTTCCTCTTTTTCCATTTTCTGCATTCCTTCTAGTGACTTCTGATCATTTGGATCCAAACTGAGGAAAATAAGAAAAAGAAAGCATTGTCCTAAATCCTTTTTTTTTTTCTTGTATTTGTGACATTATTGTAAAGAAAATATATATATATTTAAAAAAAAAAATCTTATCTTCTTGTCTGCACTTCCTGTTTAACATCATCAAGGAGTTCAATTTAGTAGATGATGCAATTTCACCTCAGGCTGACCGTAACACTGAGTATTAAAACCTCACATAAACCACTTCTGATCCCCAAGAATGCGCTTATCTAAACATCACACTCTTCCAGAAACCTTAGTCAACTCTTCCCGACAATACTAATGATAAAGTAACATCAAAGCAGTAAAAATTTAATGACTATGACTAAATATATTATATGCAAGCAAACAAAACAGCTGACCCATTTAAGCTATATAAGTTTATAGTGGACATAACGTTCTAGATTTAAGGTAAATTTAACTTGCTGAAATCAAAACATGGTAACATTTAACATGGTAACACCTTAAAATAACATTTAGGTTATGTTAAATTGAATCACACTATTTAAATTTACTTAATAGCTCATTTTTAGATAGGACCTTCTAGTCTAAAGGAATGGATTTTAAGGTGCCTGACTATATAATAATTAATAACCGTAAATAAATCCATGCCTTAATCTTTTTGTAGTCGAGGAATCGCATGCCTAGTGACACGTTTAGCATTAATGCAGTCCCTAAATTTTGCACTTCTCAGTTCAAAGCCTTATGACCAACTAATTCATTAACAGGACGTCATTTGTACGTTGCTGCTTGTTTTAAGGGAGAATGACATAAAGCTACCTCTGATTCACGTCCTCGTCAATTAGTGCCTTAACTCTTTACTTAGTCAAGGTGATTATTGTTTTTTATAAATATACTGGAATCTCAGAGTCTCTGCTTTACCTTAGGGCAATACTGTACTGGTCCATCGCTTCCTGATATTCATTGACAGCTACAAGGAAGTCTCCCAGTATTCGGTGCAGGACGCAGTCGCTCTGATTAGCCAGTGCATTCCTCAGCAAAGCAATTCCATCTTCATACTTCTGTTCTCTACCTGTTTATATGCAAAACTAGGGTTTTAATTAATAGTTTAGATAATTCTATAAAAAGTCAGAGCGTACGCAAAGAGTCATCAACAACGTAAGACTGCTTCTTCCTTCAGAGCTGTCACAGCATGGGGGATAGCAGTGATATGTTTTTTGCAAGATTAATTCTAAACAATGGCTTTTTGTTGCAATAATTGCTACACTCACAATTACATATACTTTGAAGTCAAAACATTTTGTTTGCAATGGTTTTAAGTGCTGGTGTAATATCAGTTGCTAGATGCAATTAATTCCTGTGATCTTTCCTTCAGGATAGAACTGATAAATCCCTGGGCTGTAACATCACCGTTACATTCTTCACCCTGATGAGGCTGCAGAACACTCTTCCATGTAAAACAGTATGCTTTAAATAAATCGACATAGGGGAAAAAAAAAGAACTTACTAAGAAGTTCGGCTTTCTTTACCACAGCTTTAATGTAATCAGGTCTTTGTGTCAGCGCTTTGTCCAACAGCGTTTTTGCTTTTTCCTGCGTGACCGGGTCTTCGAGACAGACTGTTGCTAACAGAGTGAGTGTCTGTGCGTTTGCTCCCAGAGTTTTATACACATTATTTGCCATAACCATAGCTTCACGGATACTGTTGGATGCTAGGTAACATTCAATGAGACCTGATAATACAAAAAGGAAAACATTTCCGTTTTTGAGTTAGCACTACAGACACTCACGCCTCCTCAATTATTTGCACTTAGCAGCACTCAGACTCAAACAACTGACGCTCCAATAAGCAAATATAAATTGCAATTGAGAAAGTGACTCTCTACATTTTAACATATCCATTCTACAGATGATTGACTTCATCGCTTTTATTTATGGGCAGGTACTAAAAAAACCAGCCTAAGACTAAGTATACCTAATCTTTTTGCCCAATTCCAGTACTGAGGTATTAACACTTCACCTGGACCCTTCACAACTCCCTATTTACTTGAAGCTGGTGTTGAGATCAACGAGATTCAAATAAATAAGACAAAACGAAGCTCCCAGTGGAACTAACCATACAGTTAATGTCATCATCCAAAACCAATCTGCTCAGAACACCCAAGTCTGTTTATATCCAGATTAAACAAAACAAAAAACAAGAAAAAAAGCCCTCTTTGAAAACCATTCGTATAAATACATGCATTCTCTAGTATCCCTCATCTGACTGCTTCTACCAGAGCTGTATAGGTTCTCGGGTAATAATAATTTACTTACTAGAAAGTCAGCAGAAGAAAAGAACTCCTGTCTTTTCCCTTCCCTAACCATCATCACGACACCAACTTTCACACCAAACCAATACCATACACGTGAGTAGCTTCACTTCACTCACCTTCGTAGCAATCCAGCCTGCAAGGTGCAAGACGTATTGCTTCACGGAAGTGTATAATCGCTTCCTGTACTCGGCCCATATTCCTAAGAGCAGCTCCTTTCAG